CCCACCCCACCAAAGCCCAGTTTTGGGGAGCAGGAAACCAGTTGTCCCCGACCCACCCAGAGGGGTTCCCCCCCCCCCCCCCCCCCCACACACACACACCACCACCACCACACACACACAGCGAGCTGTGCACGGGCAGGTGCTGCTGCAGGCGGCCGTACCATATCCTCGTAGCTTCCGCTGTCCATCCTCCAGGTGGAGAAGAGGTCGAAGCAGAGGGCGCCGCGCGCCCGCACTGCCGCAGACAGCGCCGCCCACTGGTCTGCAGGACGGAGGGTAGGTCACAGCGGCATGCACATTGCTGGGTGCAACAGAGTGCTGGGAGGAGCAAGGCAGCCGGGCAGGGCTGGCTTGCCCAGCGGAGGGGGCGGTCGTGCACGGCGAGGGCGCAGCATGTGTGCAGGCACCGGCGTGGCCAGGGAAGCCGTATGGAAGTTGGCGGGCACCTGGGTACTGCTCTTGCATGTCCCGCCGAAACTCCTCGGGGAGGCGCGCCGCCAGGGCGGCGCCAACAAAGCCCCGGGTTCCTGCAGAGGAGCAGCGCGCCGCAGGGAGCTGCGTGGAGATAACTGGTGCTGGGGGCTCAGGGCAGGAGCAGTGGCCAACACAGCCTCCGAGCAGCGGTTGTGGCACGAAAGCCAGCACGGCTGGCTGGTGTACAAGGATGAGCTCCCTGGGAGAGGATGCTAGCAGGGCGCCGGTCTGCTCCCTTACCAAATGTGTCAGCAAGGGCGGTGGCCTGGTGCACGCCGCCCCCTGCCGCCAGCAGCAGGAGGTGGGCCAGCAGGGAGCAGATCTGCGTGGGGCTACCGCCAGCGGTGGCGGCACCGGTCTCGCCCCCTCTGCTGCCGCTCCTGCCGCCGCCGCCTGCGTCGTCGCCTTTGCTGGAGCAATTGGGGTGAAGGTCATCGAAGCAGCCCAGAAGCTGGTCAGTCACCATCATCACCTGAACCACAGCACAGCACAGCATAGCACAGCACGATAAAGCTCAGCGTACACGGCTCGAGGCAGCATACTGAGGCAGGAAGGGAGGTTGTGTTGCCGTGGCTGGGTGGCTGATAAGGCAGAGAGTGCCCACGCTGGGTGCTGCACAGCAGGTGGCAGCTTCCAGTGGTGCAGAAGCAGCGGGGCACCCAAGCAGGCCTCCCGCGCACCTCGTGCGCTAGCGTGCCCACCAGCCTCAGGTCAGTATTCCCCTGCCCCTGCTGCTGCTCCCGCTGATCCTGGTGCTGCCACTGTTGTTGCTGCTGCTCCTGCTGCTGCTGGCACTGCTGCAGCTGCCGCTGCTCCCGCAGCAGCCGCTCCAGCACCACCACCGCCAGCACAGAAGAGGTGCCCGCATAGCCGGGCAGGTGGTGAATGCAGTACCTGCAGGACAAGTAGTACACCGTGCAAAGCAGCGGTACAGCCACCGACATCAGGCAGCCGCTGCAGTGACCGAGGGCCCCAGCAATCACGGCTTCCTTCTGCGCAGCGTGCTGCTGCATGGCCGCGGCCAGAAGCGTCCTGCAGCTCCCCTGCCAGCTCACCAGTTCTGCAGCAGGAGGTAGCGCCGGCTGCTGCTGCGCCGCCCCGCAAACAGCATCATCGCCGGCGGCTGGCCGCCGGCGCCGCAGCTGTCGTCGCTGGCCGCCTGTGCTGCCTGCGCGGCTGCCTCCTCAGCCAGCCGCTGCACCCCTGCCGCCAGCTTCGCGAGAGAGTTGGCAAGCAGCTCGGTGGATGAGAGGCGCACGCCGTGCTGCCGCACCAGGCGCCGCACCTGCGGGGGTGCAAAGCAGCCACACGTGTGCTGCGGACTCCAAACACCTTAGCGGGCTGACCCGGGCGCGGCCCCCTCAGGCATGCTGCCGTCGCCTCGAGGAGGAAAGAAGAAGGTAGGCGCGGCAGCATGCAAACACGACCATCTCTGGCATGCAGGGCCTCTGGTGGCACCGGCCCTGGGGCGCGGCCTGGGTCCCACCTGCGCCGCCAGCGTCGCCGCCTGCACCAGCTGCGTCAGCGTGGTCTCCGCATGGGAGGCGGCCTCGATCGGGCCTGCGATCCGCCGGCGGTGGCGAAAGCCAGCAACGGGAGGAAAGAAAATGTGGTCAGCCACAGGACATTGCAGTGGGCTGGCTGCTCGCTGCCCCTGCTCACAACACTCCTGCAGCCCTCCAAGCTGCTGGTGAGGCATCCTCATGTACCGCTCCCCAGCTGCCCGAAAGTACCGCTCCCCAGCAGGCCCAGAAGCTCCCTCCCGGCAGCGCACCATGGCTGAAGGCCACCAGCTCTCCGCCCAGCTCCTGCCAGCTCACCGGCGCCACGCCGTGCTGCCCGCCTCGAGCCAGCATCGCCTGCTGGCGGGTGGCAGGAAGGGGGCGGCGGCTGTTGGAGGCCAGGGTAGCCTGGTGCGGTGCAGTCCTGGCACCAGCTGCCTTGCCGGCGCCTGCGACGGCAGGCGGTAGAGCCGCGGCCCAGCCCGGCAGGATACTCTACAGGCAGCAGTGCAGCGCGTTCCCCGCGCTCGCCTCTGAGCACTGGAAGCCGGCGAAGCGGGTGTTGAGGGCTTGCACCACGGGCGGTGGGTAGGGCGGCACGCCCAGCCGCTGCGAGCAGGCCTGCTGGAACAGCTGCCAAAGCTCTGGATCCTGCAGGCACACAACAGGTCCCTTCGCCAAGCCCAGCTGCCCATTGGCTGCGGCATGAAGGGGCGCAGCAGTGCACAGCCGCGCTGGCGGAGCAACCCCCCTGGAGCATACACAGGAAGGGTGTAAGCGGCCCTCGGCGGCTGGCCGCCGCACCTCGCGCCGGATGGCGGCCAGCGGTACGGGCGTCCTGCGTACCGCCAGTTCAAAGTCTGCCACCACGCCTGGCATGTACCGCGCATACAGCCTGCGCACACATACAATCAGTGCGTCAGGAGCAGCGCCCGCAGGCAGGGGGGCCGCCTGCTGGCCTCGCATGGCATGAACGAGGTGCCTCATCACCACCCTCACTTGTGCATACGCGGCTTATAAGCATCGTTGACCAGATAGGCACCCAGCGCCTCGGCAGGAAGCGCCAGGATGGCGGCGGTAATCGGGTCACGCACAAATGCAGCCAGGTCGTCTGTGGGTTGCGGCGAGGCGCAAGGCGGGGGTGTGGCGGCGGAGCAAGACTGGGCGACAGCAAACACGCTTCGGGAGCTCACCCATCGTGGCCTGCGTGCACCCCGCGATCTGTGCGTAGCGCAGAGCGCGCAGGAGCAGCTGGTCGGGCGGCACGGGCTCATCTTCGAGCAACAGCGGCGCCATTTGCGCAACTGGCGCCCAGATGAACGATCAACGTGCTGCGCAAGTGCTCAGGAATGATGAACTCTCGAAACAAGAGAGCTGGCCCGGCGCGCCCATCTCTGCTGTGTGCTGTGCTCTGGGCTGAAGCCGGCTGCCTCATGCTCGTCTGTGCTCCATCACGAGACGCACCATTGCACTGGCGATCAATACCGCCTCCTGCTGCCAGGCCCCCGCACACACTCTCAGCAACCCCTGAACCGCCCCGCCCAGCACAGGGCAGCTTGGCGGGCCGCCAGCGACCAGGTACAGGCGCAGTGCGCTCGGTGCACCACGCAGCCACGCTGACGCGCCCAGTTAACGCAGAAGGGCTTGGTGCGATGGGCGCCCTTGGCGGTGACTTCCTCGAGGGCTTCTTCAAGAGCTGGGGCGTGATCCTGGCGTCGGAAATCGGCGACAAGACGTTCTTCATCGCCGCCATCCTTGCCATGAGGCACTCCCGCAAGCTGGTGGGTGGCTGGGGAGCGGTAGGAGCAGCAGGGAGTGTCGAGGATTGGCGCAAGAGGCGGAGGGGCAATCTGGGGGAGTCGCCAGCAAGCCCTGCCGCCGCCGCCGCCAAGCACTGCTGCCGCTCTTATCTCGCCGCGTGCGGCCTCTTCCCTTCTCCCACGCAGGTGTTTGCGGGCGCGATAGGCGCCCTGGCGGCCATGACCGTGCTGTCGGCGCTGCTGGGCTGGGCCGCACCCAACCTGGTGTGTTGTTGTTGTTCACCCACTGCTACCCCGCTCGCCGCAGATGCTCCCCACCTCCCGGCATGCCGCCTCTCCGCCTCCCTTCGCACCCCTCCCCGCTCCTCCTCCGCCCCCTGGCCACTGCCGCTGCCGTCACAGCGCCGAGCGCAGCGCCGCAGACTCCCCCCTCACACGTGTGCCACCCCCGCCACCCCTGTGGCCCCGCAGATCAGCAAGAAGTGGACCCACTACGGCGCCACCGCGCTCTTCTTCTTCTTCGGCGCCCGCATGCTGTACGAGGCGGTGACCAATGCACACGCGGGGGAGTCGGAGCTGGATGAGGTGGAGAAGGAGCTGCAGGTGGACAAGGTGCTGCCCGGGGGCCCGCCGCCGCCGCCGCCGCCGTCGCCGCGACGCGACGCTTGCTGCCAGTGCTTCGTGTACTGCTGCTTCGCCTCTGTGTGGCTGGCCTGGGGCGGGCAGGGTATCAGTGGATGGGCTGCTGCACAGGTGGATAAGGTGCAGCCCGAAGCTCGCCGCGGCGTGGCCGGGGCGCCTGGGCTGAACAGAACGGCAGGTGCTGCGCCGGGGCCACACACACACACACACACGCCCTCACACACGCACCCACACACGCACGCCCACACCGGGCGCCCCTCCCCGCCGCCCCCTGCCGCAGTCCTCCCCCAAGTCCCCCAAGGACAGCGGTCCCGAGTCCAAGGTGGGCGCGCTGCACCCGCTGCTGGCGGCGGCGCGCCGCTGCGTGTCGCCCATCCTCCTCGAGTCCTTCACCCTCACCTTCCTGGCGGAGTGGGGGGACCGCAGCCAGATCGCCACCATCGGTGAGAGCGCAGCAGCCTGCTCTCCCGCTGCCGCCCCGCTGCTGCTCCCTGCCGCCCCGCTGCTGCCTGCCGCTGCTGCTGCCTGCTGTGTGGGTGTGTGTGGTGGGGGGCGACCACTGGCCAGATGGCACCCCGCAAGAAGAGGGCAGCCTGCTCCGTCGGCGGCGCCACGGCCCACCCGCCAGCCGCCCTGCTGTCACGATTGTGCTGCATGTGGGATGTTGATAGTTGCCGCACCGCCTCACGGCTGCCCTCCTGGGCCTTCTGCTCGGCGTGCGCAGGCCTGGCGGCGGCCTCCGACGTCCTCGGCGTCACGCTGGGCGGCATCGTCGGGCACGCGCTGTGCACAGGTGGGCGGGCAGCCAGGCGCGGCTTGCTCGGTGGGCGGCCGCGACGTGCTTCCTGGTTGCTCCAGGACTCACCGGCACAAGGGCCTCACGACAGCTGGCCGGCGCTGCTCGCTCGCTGTTTGCTGCGCCCCTTACGGTCACCCCGCCTGCTGTGCCACACGCCCACGTGTGCAGGCGCGGCGGTGCTGGGTGGAAAGCACCTGGCCGAGCACATCCACGAGCGCATGGTGGCCTACTTGTGAGTGTCTCCCTTGCTGCTCCCTGCTGCGCTTCACAGCTGGCTTGTAGGCTGGCTGGCATGCACCGCGCAGTTGCCTGTTTGGCCTTGGCAGCCACGGTCAGCGGTGGGGTTTGCTGGGGCATGGGAGCGCACAGCTGCCCACCGACGCACCCTCAACTCCCTGCCGCGCTGCAGCGGCGGCGTGCTGTTCCTGCTGTTCGGCGCGCACTCGCTCTGGTCTGGCGTGCCTGAGTGAGGGGCCTGCTGGCTGGCGCACTGGGCTGGCTCCCGAGTCCTGGCCGCAGCGTGGCGCCAAGCCGCTCCACCTCCGCCACACACGCACTGGGCGGGTGGCGCTCGCGGCAAGCCACTCCAGCGTAGCACCACTCCATTTTATGCATTCGGTATCGCCAAATTGTTTCTGGAACTACTGCTGTTCGTTTCCTTAAGCGGGGAGCTGCGGCCCGCTGGCCGCCCTCGGGGCCCTCTCCCCGCCGCTGGGCAGCCTTCTATTCTCTCTCTATATGCACCTGCTCTTTGTAAGGCTCCACCTTCTAGGAAGGCTGTATAGACGGCACTGGGGGCTGAGGCAGCTGGGGGAGGGTGTGGCGGTGCGGTACGCGCCTCGGCGCCTGCCAACCTGGCGCCGCATTTGGGTTTCGCCGTATGCCTGCCTGCGCTCGCTCGCTCGCATTACTGTTGCACACCGAACCCGCACCTGGCCTCCTCCCGCCCCTTCGTCCTGCGGGCGGTGAGTAGGCAGGCTAACCGCCTGGCACCTGCCCTCCGTAACTGCAGCGGAGGAACTGCAGCACCCGTGAACCCAATTTCACAAGCGGCACTTGGCGCTCGGTTGGCGGGGCGTGCGTGCAGTTGGTGGCGGGTTGATGCCCGCTGCTGAGTGCCAGCAGAGGAGCCGCTCCAGCCGCTCGCGATGAGTAGCCTGCAGGCCCAGGAGCAGGTGGATTGGGCGGTGATTGGCTGCGCGGGTGAGTGTTGGCCGGCTGACAAGGTGCCTCTTGGCTGTCTCCCAGGCGCTGCTCAGCGGCTGAGCCGCCCCCGTTGCCCCTGCAGGCGCCACAGCGGTGCTGGCCCTGGCAGCCTGCGCCTACACCGTGCCCTGGCGGCGCCGCGCCGCCAAGGACCCGACACGCGGATCTTTCTCGCTGCTGTGGCGCGGCCGCGTGGCCCTCAGCCTGCTGTCAGCCGCCTGGGCGGTGAGCGCGCGCAGCGGCAGCACCCTTCTGCAGCTTTTGCCACCACCTGGCGGCTTGGATCACGCAGGGATGCGACTGGCGGTGTGCCTGTTCACTCTCCCGCTCCCACGCTGTCCTGCTCTGCCACGCCTGCGCTGCCGCAGGTGTCCCAGCTGCTGCGGGTGAGCATCCTCTGGGGAGCCAACTCGGTTGTGCTGCCCCAGAGCATCACCAGCTGGACAGGCGCGGGATGGATGTGCAGGTGTGTGGCACCAGCCAGCTTGCATGCATGCATGCAAAATGCCAGCCTCCGTTTCTGCCGCGCTCCACGACCAAGCTGCCCGCCCGCTTGCCTGGGCTTCCTTTGTCCCTCTGCTGCAGGATCTACCTGACTGTGTCGCTGGGCCTGCTGCAGCCCCTCTGCGCCTTCACAGCCCTGCTCATGCTCACGGCGGCGCTCAGGTGGGTCAGTTGGGATAGGCTGCTGGTGCTTGCTGCTGTCGATGCTCCAGTGCCGCACGCCTGCTGGGTCTCTCCTCAATGCTCTGTGCTTGCTGCTCCTGACCCTGCTGCTGACCCTGCTGCATCCCACCTGCCACCTGGCGCAGCCGGCGCCACCGGCCCGAGGCCGCACGCCACCCCAACGCCCGCCTGCTGGGCCTGGCGGCGCTGTGCACGCTGCCGGTGGCGGCGGTACAGTCGGTGATCGCTTGGCTGGGGGTGGCTGTGCAGTACCAGGGGAGGCCCATCGAGGCCTCACCCCGCTCCGTGCTTGGAATCTTTTTCGCCACCTACTGGGCAGGCAGCCCGCAGCAGTGCGGCACCTCCGACACTGACGTCGGCCTGCCCGCGGGCGCACCCGCCGGGGCCCAGCCTGTGATGCTGGCCTCCACGGAAGCGCCGGGGAGCGGCGGCGCGGCGCCGGAGGAGCCGGAGGAGCTTGGCGGCGGCGGCTGCACGGCCTGCGTGTTCCCTGCGGCGGCAGTGATCGCGCAGGGGCTCTTCACGCTGGCATTCCTGGCCGCGCTGTGGGTCACGTCGGCCCGCCTGGTGGCAGCGGTGCTCAACACGCGCCTCAAGCGCCGCGTGCGCCTGTTCCAAGCCGCCTATTCGCTGCTGGCTGTGGCAGGTGGGCCACCAGGGGCCAGCTGCCTGCACGTTCCCCACGTGTGCAAGCGCACTGCCGCCGGGCTGTGCATGCAGCGGCATGCCGACACCTTTGCAGCCTTCACGCTGGCGCCTGCTCATCTCCTTGCCTGTGCCCCGCCTGTGCTGCCGCCTCTGTTGCTGCAGGCGTGGCGGCCCTGGGCGTCAGCCTGGTGCGGGGCCCCTTCTCCTGGCTCAACATCGGCTGCTGGGCGGGGTATGTGGCGACAGTGGCGCTGACGGTAGCTCTAGTTCTGTGGGAGGTGGCGGTGTGGCCGGTGCGGGAGCTGCGGGCGGTGGACAAGGTGAGGAGAGTAGTGATGGGGGCCGTTGGGAGGGTTGGGGGTCGAGGCGGGGTTAGAGCAGCTGCTCGCTGCTTCGTTAGCACAGGTAGAGGCCGCCCCCCTGCCTGCTTGCGTGCCTGCCGGTGCTGACGTGCCGCCCCACGCGCCTCCCGTGAGTTGCAGCGCCTGGCGCTCTGGGCTGACGCCACCACCGCCGCTGCTCTGGCGGCCGCGGCGGACGAGGCGCTCGGCTCGCAGCTCGGCGGCGGCCCTGGCGGCCTCATCAAGGCGCACAACCGCTCGTCTGACGCAGAAGCGTATGTGGCGGCAGCGGCCACAGCGCGCACCCTGTCGGCATCGCGGCAGGCAGAGACGGCGCCGACGGCGCCCCGGCTGGCCCCGACCCTGCCGCCGGTGCCGCCGCCGCTGTCCCCGCAGCGGCAGGCGACGCTGAAGCGCCAGCTGAGCCCCAAGCGGCCTCCTCCGCGGCATCCCAGCCTGCTGTGGCAGCAGCAGCAGCAGCAGCAGCAGCAGCAGCATGCGCCACCAGCATCGCCATACCGACCCCCGCCGATGCTGCTCGCGTTCCCAACGCAGCTGGCGTCCCCATCCCGGCAGGCCTCTGTCGGGCAGCAGCTCTATCCCGCGTCGCCGGCGATGGTACCACCAGGGCAGCAGCAGCTTTACCCCTGAGCCCCAGAATGTGTACTATTGCATGCATGCCGGCACCGCTGCTGCTGCCCTGCTGGCTCTTTCCGTTGAAACCCAACTCCCCTGCTTCCACCTCTTACTGCTACTGGGCCCTTTTATCTGCTGATCCATCAGATGAGATGCCTGCATGGACTGCACAGATTCATAGCACGATTCACAACACGGATGTGCATATATGCCTCGCCCAATGAAGTTTTGTTTTTTTGTTGTTCTTCCTTCTAATCCCTCCCTCCCGCCCTTTTCAACTGTAGCATCCTTCAGGCCTGCCATTCTCTTGCGCCGGCACATCAGCGGTGCCTGCCCTGCTACACTCTCCTGCCCTGAGTGCATGCGCTTGCCACATGTCCCCTTCTCGATTCTTAGTTGTTCCCCGCTGTCTACCTCTCGATTCTGAGCTGTCCCTCTCGTTCTTGCATGCTGCGTTTGCTTTCTGCCGCTGTCACGTCTGGCCCAGAGACCCTTATTGGATGATCACATGAAAAAATGAGCGCCAGCTGGAGTGCGCCTGATGATGGCGTGCATTAGGGGGTACCAGCGTTCACCTTCGCATGCCGCGTGGAAATTGCCAGGCAGCCTTTGATTGGACATGTCTGTTGGGTGAGTTTGGGTGAACGCCGGTTCCGGTCAACCGTTGCCGCCTTGTTGCCATCCCCAAATAAGATGAGGCAGTCGGCTGGCCGGAGCCACCAAAGCGCTGCAGACTAGCTGGTTAGTGTTTGAGAGGCTGGGCTAGGCAGCTTGGCTGTCATCCCTACGTGCCTCTGTCACCTGGGCGGCAGTTCTGGCAGTACCCAAGGGGCATCAGCTCCCCGTTCCGGCCCGGGGCTGCTGCTGCAGGTACCAGTGTCACGCAACGGAGAGACCTCCACGCTCTTCAGACGGCAGCATAGTCGTGCGGATGCACCAGACATCCCTCATGCCTGAGGCTCGTGCCGCCCGCCCGCCCCTCCAGGCAGCTGCCGCCGCTGTCGGTTGGAGAGGTTGGTTGGTGGTGGCACATTTGACAGCATGCGCTCGCCTGGCTGCTGATCCCAGTTCATCAGAGTGTTCTGCATATTCCCACTAGCGGAGCCCCACCCAGCCAGCTCCCGGCAGCTGATTCAAGGCAGATGCATCTGCCGGCAGCCGCAGCCCGCCGTCGCCGTTTACCTCATCCCCTCACCACGCACAGCACGGCCCCTCATTTTTCGCTCGCTTCGATACGCTCTGCACTGTTGCAGGCCTGCATAGCCCGCCTGCACCGCTGCAAGCTGCGCTCCCGCCCGGGCTGCACTTGAAAGCCCCACCAGCCAACAGTGCAGCGGACCGGCGCCATGGACGCGGATGCCGACGTTGAGAAGGGCCACACCAATGGCTACAACCCTTCCGAGGGTGGCCACTCGCGCCCGGGCAAGTCGATGTCAAAGGCGCTCTCGAAGGCGTTCTTGTCGGCCGGGATGGTCGTGTCCGTCAAGGTAGGGCAGGTGGTGCACAATGCTTGTCCCAGGCGGCCGCCGTGTGGTGCCGCCAGCTGAAAGTTGCTTGCAGCGGCGGCGGCGCAGCCGTCCGTTGGCGCCTAACCTTACCTAACTCGCCCTTGGCCTCTCGTGCGTGCGTCGTGCTGGCCCCGAGCAGAATGTCACCTACACCGTGATCAACAGCCAGAACAAAAAGGAATCCATTAGCCTGCTGAAGGACGTGGGCGGCTACATCCTGCCCGGCGAGATGACGGCGCTCATGGGGTGGGCCCCCGCCCCGCTGTGCCGCGCCGCCGCACCAACATTCACGGCCAGAGCTGCCGGTGCTTGCCTTTCCTGAGCAGCAGGGATTACATCAAAGCCACATTGATTGTACCCTTCGCATTTTACTTCTAATTCTAACAGTAAACGTTGCGCGTCCCGCGCCCCGCATCCCGCCCGCCTCACTCCCGCTCCCCCCACTCTGTCCTGCAGTCCCTCCGGCTCCGGTAAGACCACCCTGCTCGACCTGCTGGCCGGCAGGAAGACTGTGGGGCACATGGACGGCCAGATTGCGTTTGCAGGCAACAAGCCGACCCCGCAGGTGCGCAGCCGGGGGGCACGGTCGCTGCCTTGCTGCGTTGTCTCCTTTGCCGCCGCGCCAGGCCTGCCTGTATGCCCCGCACCTGTCCCCTGCGCCTGAATTCTGTCCCTATGCCACCGCTTGTATTGTTTCTTGCAGTTCCTGCGGCGGTTTACAGGTGGGTGAGCGCCGTGGGCGCCGCCGCGCTGCAGGGCTCCGTGAGCGCGCTGTGCCCTGCCGCAAACGCCGCGCCCTGCTCCGTCCGCTGTCGCTCCCCTCGCAGGCTACGTGGAGCAGTTTGACACGCTGCTGGGCACTCTCACTGTCGAGGTGGGTGGCGGCAGGGAGGCCGCCGGCTGCACGTGCTGCCAGCCTGCCGGCCTGGGGGCAAGTGCCCCGCGGCCTGCACTTGCCGCCCGCCAGCCGCAGCCATGTGGAGTGCTCTCACACCCGCGTGCTCATCATGTGAACACCCAACGCGCGCCCCTCCCGCCTGCTCCCTCCCGCTCCCTCTCTGCTGCAGGAGATGCTTATGTACACTGCGGAGCTCAAGCGCCCCATCTCTCAGAGCCACGACGTCAAGAAGGCGGCGGTGGAGGAGCTGATTGACGTGCTGGCGCTGGAGGGCTGCCGCAACGTGCTCATCGGCAGCGCGCTTTCCAAGGGCATCTCAGGCGGGCAGGTGGGGCTGGGGCTGGGGCGCGGTTGGAATGGGGCGGGGTGGGGTGGTTTGGGGGCTGATGGCGAGGGGTGGGCTGGGCATGGCGCCGGTGGGAAGGGCTGCCTGGGCTGGCCTGCTGCTGCTGGTGCTACCTGCCGGTGCCGGAGCCGCGCTTGGCTGTGCGGGGCTGGCTGCAAGGGATCGGCCTGCGGGTGGGACCTTCTGTCTGGGCCCAGCTTGAGACCACGAGGAGAGCCTGGCAGCCAGCTGCGCGCGCTCCTCCTCTCACGCGCCTCCACCCTGCCCCCCCCCGCCCTGTGCCCCAGGCCAAGCGCGTCAACATCGGCATTGCACTTGTCACTAACCCGCGCGTGCTCTTCCTGGGTGCGCGCCGCCATCTGCCGCCGCGCCCACCTGTAGCTAGTTGATCCCGCTGCGGCCGGGGCCTGCCCCTGGGCGCCGCCGGCCGCGGCCGGGACGTGCCGCGGCTGCGCGTGCTGCCGGGCGCTGTGGCTGGTTTCCGTCGCCAGCCACAGCGGCGCTGCTGACCACCCAAACGCGCCTGCATGCCTCCCACCCGGGCTGGTTGCAGACGAGCCGACGTCGGGCCTGGACAGCTACACGTCCAACGAGGTGATGACGGTGGTGAAGCAGCTGGCCTCCCACGGCATCACCGTGTGCGCCACCATCCACTCCCCCACCCCCTACTGCTTCAACCTCTTCGACCGCCTCATGCTGCTCCTGCGCGGCTCGGTCGTCTATTTTGGGCCCAACGGTGGGCGCTTGTTTACTTCTGCCATGTTTTGTTGTTTGCCTTTGTTTTGTTGGTGGTCTTGCGATTTACCAGATGTTTGTGTGTTTTGTTTGACAGCCCCTGCTTTCACGCCCCGCCCCTCAGCCCTGCTGCCCCCCCTTCAACCACCCCGCGCCCCCTCCATGCCGCGCAGGCAAGCTGGCAATCGAGTACTTCCACACCCGCTGCCCCTCCATCGCGGGCATCAAGGAGGGCGAGAACGAGGCGGAGTGGATTGTGGACCTCACCACGCAGGTGCCCGGCTGGCGGGGTGAATGCTCCCGCTTGCTTGCTCCCGCTTCATGTGTTTACAGCCTGCCTTTCGACATAGACAACTTGATGCGACCCAGATGATAGCATGGGGTCGCGGCTGGCTGTGGCGGCCTTGCCCTTGCCCTTGCCCTTGCCCTGCTCTGGTGCCGCCTGCTCACACGCGGCGCCCCTCGCCTGCCTGCCCCACCTCCACCCGCCGCCAACTCAATCTGCAGGCCGACCGCCAGGGCCGCTCCGTCGACTTTGCCGCCGCCTTTGCGGGCAGCGAGCTGAAGGCTGCCGCCGATAAGGAGCTGGAGCAGCTGCTGGTGGAGGCGGAGGAGATGGGTGAGCGGGTGGCTGGCAGGGCGGGGTTCGCGGCGGGCAGGCAGCGCTGGGGCGCGCCTGGTGGGCAGGGCAGGCCCGCCGGCGGGCAGGCAGCAGCAGTACCACCACCTACCCACCCACCAACTCACACATCAACCCACGCACCTCCCCCTCCTGCAGACGAGGCCACAGAAAAGGACATGGCTGTGAAGCGGGAGACGGTGACGCCGTTCTGGTGGGCCCTCAAGACGCTGTTCAAGGTGGGAGTGGAGGAGGCACTCAGCGCCCGTGCAGGACCAGCTGCGGCCGGCCCTCCCCACCCCTCGCGCGCGGCCGCTGCTGCACGCTGGTCGGCTTTGCACGGGCATGCCCTGTCTTCCTCCTCACTGCATGTTGGCACTGCCATGCGGTACCATTCTGTATTCTGCAGTACCGTACCGCCAAGAACTACAGGTCCCCTGACTACCTGGGCCCACGCGTCGCCGACAAGCTCATCTTTTCGTGAGCAGGGCTGCCCCCTGCTTCCTGTGTGCCTGCTCCTCGCTTGCGGCCTCCTGCCCGCCTGCTCGCCGCATGCGTGCGGCCTGCTTGCCCCAGCACTGGCTCGCCAAGCTGCTGCTGCCTGCCGGCCTCTCGCCGCTCTCCGCGCTGGCCCGCTGATGCATGCCTGAGCCCGCCCGCCCGCCGCCCGCTGCCCCGCCAACGACACAAACGACCCTGCAGGCTGATCATTTTCACGCTCTACTGGAAAGTGGGAAAGAACATGAACCCCGACAACATCACCAACATCGCGGGTGCGAATAAAACTCAATTAGAACGATGCTGTATGGTGCATCGCTGTCGCCAGCCGGGCCGTCCCGCTAACCTGCTGCCGGCCGCCCCGCCCCATCCTATGCCTGCCTGCCTGCCGCTCGCGCCCCCCCGGTGCCATGCTGCAGCCGTGCTGTTCATGTGGGTGTGCCTTCCAGCCTTTGGCGCCGCCAGCTACGTGCCGGCCATCGTGCTGGAGCGCCCGCTGTTTGTCAGGTGGGGCGCCGGCAGCCGGGGGCCGAAGCTGCTGCCGTTGCTTGGGCAGGCCTGGGAGCGCGCCGCTGTGGCAAGCAGCAGAATGCGCTTCGGGCGCCCACACACCCTCCCTCACACACCTCTGGCGCCTCTGGCTCGCCCGTGCGTCCGCCTGGCGCCGCCCCCAACCCGCACCGCCTGACGTACCGCCCACACCAGCCTGTACCGCCCTCCTGTACCCCCACCGCCAGGGAGCGCAACGACGGCCTTTATCGCGTCATCACCTACCTTGTGGCCAAGATTTTGGAGGAGCTGGGCATCGCCCTCATCAACTCCATCGTGTTTGGTGAGCCTGCCGCTGGGTGCACCAGCCTGCCATGGTGTGGGCGCTGTCTGTGGTGCCTGGCCTCCAGCCCACCCCACCTGCCCGAACCAAGCCACCCAACCAGCACACCCCTCCACCACGGCCCCCGGCCCCGCAGCCAACCTGGTGTTTTGGACGGTGGCGCTGAAGGGCAGCTTCGCCATCTTCTGGCTCATCTACTTTGTCACCCTGTCCACCGGCATCGGTGAGGGAGCGAAGCATTAGGAACGACCCTCCCGCTGCATCCTTTGCCTCGCCCTATGCCTCGAGAGGGCCCGGCGGCGCGGCGTGAGCGAGCCCTCTCGCCTGATGCTTGCCCTACCCTCTGCTGACGCTGCCCATGCCCCCTCCCCTCCCTGCCCCTGCAGTGCTGGCCTACACCGTCGCCGCCCTCTCGCCCAACATGGATGTGGCCAATGCCGCCCTGCCCACCTATGTCGTGGTGAGCGGCGGGCTGCGGTGGGCTGGAGGCGGGCTGGCTGGGACCCAGATCGCAGAGGGAGTCGTGCTCTTCGGCCCGGGAGGGCGAGCCTGAGGCAGCTGCGCCACGCTTGCCTTGCGCACACACCAACACCCCACGCATGTGGCTGTGCACACGCCCATACCCAGAAACCGGCCATCATGGCTTACCCCTGCCTGCACCTGTCTTGTGCTGTACCGCAGTCCCTCCTCTTCTTCTCCGGCTTCCTGGTGCGCTTTGATGCCATCCCCAACTACTGGAAGGTGTGATGTTGGTTTTTGCGCCTCCTGTTTTATTTTTTGCCGCCGCCTGCTCTCTGCTGCCTCCGTGGCGCCTGCCTCCGCGGCTCGGCATGCACACTGACCACCCTGCCTCCCCGCACTGTCGCTGCAGTGGTACAGCTACATCGACTTCCTCAAGTGAGCGTCAGCTGCCTGGAAGCTGCTGCGGCGCCATGCCCAATCCCTGCACAGCGCCTGCCAGCTGCCAGGGGGGCCCGGCCAGGCCCTGCTGCCCTATCACAAGCCTGCTGCATCACATGCCCCGCCCAGCTGCGGTACCTTCACTGCCTGCTGCGTCACATTCCCTGCCTCTGGTTGCCTCGGGTGGTACCGCAGGTATGCGTGGGGGGCACTCATGAAGAACCAGTTCAACGGCGACCGCAATGTGCAGGTGGGCGGGGCAGGGCCCCAGGGGGTGGTGCCCCCCCTGGAGAGGGCAGAGGGCAGCAGGATGCTGGGGGGGTGGAGTCACACGGCAGGGAGGGGAGGAGGAACAGCGGCGGCAGCAGCGGCTGCGCACGCCACCTGGCCACGTGTGGCATGCAGGCGCTCATTGCTGCTTTCCTCTGCTGCCTCCTCCTTTCTTCCCCGCAGTTTGTGGAGGGCACCACCGTGCTGGACTACTACGGCCTGGCCGGCATCAACCCCTGGGTCTGGCTGGTCATCGAGGCCTGCTTCTTCATCAGTGAGCGGCTGCCCTGCCGCTGCCGTGCTCATGCCGCAAGGGGAGAGGCAGCAGGGCTGCGCTGCGCCGGCGCTGCGCCGTGCGCGGCTGTGCCGCGCTTTGCTGCTTTGAGAGGCGGAGGGGAGGACGGGGCCGGCGCCTGCTGGCCCTGGGCGCTGCCCTCGAGGGCCTGTTCACCGCGGTACCCATAGCCGTCCCGCCTGCCTGCCCATCTCCCCTCCCGTGCCTCCGCCTGCAGCCTTCTTCGGATTTGCCTTCCTGGCGCTTTCGTATGTGAGGCACGTCAAGCGGTAAACAACACAGAAAACGTGCTGCTGTGGCACAGCACCCTGGTGTATTTGGCTGCGGCAGCAGACCTGGGGCGTGCACGCCGATCGACACCGCCTGGCGCCGATGCCGCGACGTCGACGGCGGCGCGGGCTGCGCATCGCCCCGACCGCTGCCCAGCACGCCTCAACCGATCCCTTCCACCGCTCCCTGTGAGACCGCCTGCCTGGCCACCCGCCCCCACGCATGCCAGACCCGCCGTCCGGCCCTTTTGCAGCGCCCTGCGCCTGAGCAGCGCGCCCGGCCACGCTTTGCACCCAACCCATTTCATTCCACTCGGAGAACAGCTCCCCACCTTTGTGCTCTCCATGCCATTTTCCTGTCTCCCTCAGTGCCATCCGCCTTTCGTTTTGAATGCAGCGCTGCCCTCTTTCCCTGTGATTCTTTCCTCCCCCCGCACCCCGGGCCTCTGCCACCCCCGGGGCAGGCCGGTCGCGCTGGCAGCCCGGTGCCGGCACCCAGGCGGCGGCGGCTCTTGCCGCCGCCGCCCTGCTCCCCATGCCTTTACGAACTCAAACCCACTGCTCAGCCTCACGACCCACCAGCCGCCGCCGCGCTGCCCGACCGGTGCTTGCACCCGCCCAACTGCTGCCTGGCGGGACTCCGATACCGAACTTAGGTACTCCATTATTCTCTTCCCCATGTACATTCCAGCTACTGCCGCGTAACGAGTGGGCGCTCCCTTGAGTGGCAGTGTGACGTCAGGTGGCAGAAGGGGCGGCAGATGGGTCCTGTTGTCACATGGCTGCCGCAGCCGGGCCCTGTGGAAGGGATGCGGTGCTGCTTGCTGCCTGCTTGACACATGCCTGCACGGCTGGCCTCTGTTCGATGCAGTTGAATGGTTCGATCAGCCGAATGGCAATGGAGGGAGGGCGTGGCAGCAGTCCAAGAATTGTACAGGCAGTCCATAGTGGGGCGGCATTTTTGCCAGCAGCCTAGGACTGCCCTCACACCTTTACCTTTTACCTTTACCTCACAGGACTTCCTGCCGCCGTTTCATTTCATTCAGCGAGTCGCCTGAGCTGCGCACCACAGCCACCCATTCACTGCTCCAGACCCACAGGCGTATGCCACAGCCCCGACGGGCCTAAAAAAGGTAAAGGTGGGGAAGAGCCTCCACAAGCTTCACTTCCCGGTTTTAACGTCTAGCTTTAGACCATTATTTGATCTGCCCGACGCGCCAAGTGCAGTACCCCCCACTAGTAGTGAATGGGTCCCGGGGAGGCCTGTGCCGAAGCCTTGGCGATTCTATTAGGCGTTCCCGATTTAGGGACCCTAAACCCTAAATAGCCCTGGCTGTGGAACGGATGCAGATGGTGGGCAGGAGCGGCGCAGCGGCCTCGAGCGGGTGGCGGGCAGCATGCTGGCGGCACGGCGCCCAGCGCCGGCGCCTGCGCACACCGCAGCAGACCAGCCCACCGCTGAGTCGTCAGGTGGGCTCCTGGCCGCGAGGCGTTGCGGCCTCTGGCACCACCCACGGGTTGAAGCCGTGAAGGCACCAAATGCAATTGCCTTGCTCGCCTCTGCCTTTGCCGCAGATGCAGGCGTCCAGCGGCGCCCCGGGACCCTCGGAGCCGGCGCCGGCCCCCAGCAGCTCAGACCCAGTGCTGTTCGGCGAAGACGTGCTGACTGTACCCGGTGAGTTGTTGTGTTGATACAACACCAAATCAACATCTCCAGCGTAACGAGCCAACATGTTAACATTGCTGACCTGACAGCAACGTATGCATTGAACGACATGAACAAGTGCTAATCTAGATTCCAGATCTGGTTGGCAGCTCATGCACACGCGTCCCCGCCCTTCCTGTAAGCTGCAGGCAGGTACTTCTATGATGGCTTCACCTCCTCTGATGATGTCATGGCTGCCTTCTCAAAGCTGCGCACGGCCAGCCGGTACCCCCCCATCGAGGTGACGCCCGAGGCGCTCGAGGATCTCGAGGTGCAGAGAGTTAGAAGTGAGATACAGTTCAACGTGGCCCTTAAACTGTTTTGGATCGTTGCAGTAGCCCTGCCGCTGCTCGCATTTTTCAGCATGCCGCTGGCGCTGCCAGTGTTGGCCAGAGTTGTCATGCTGGGTGGTGCCGCAGCGGCAGCTGGCGCTCACCTCCTCAGCAGCTACATGATCAAGAAGCAGCGCCAGATTCTGTGTCAGCGCACGGTGGCCAAGCCCTCACAATGACAGACCTGCCAATGTTGTGCAGCCGTTTGTAAGAGCTGTGTGGGGCATGTGCATCCCAGACTGGGCTTCCAGTGGGGTGGCCAGCCCGGCCAACAAGGTCACGCTGTCCCTCTTCTCCACGCGCAAGCAGCGCGGGGAGCCGGAGCAGGCCGTCAGGCTGCGCTCCCTCCGGGCCGGCCGCCGCCCAGGGCTGCTATCCCTTCACCCTGCGACACCGGCCAGAAGGTGGGATACCTGCCGCCGCTGCTGACGTGGCGCGGGCGTGACCTCCCATCTGCCTGGCCGTTGCGCCCGCCTGCTGTGGCTGTCGTGCCCGTGCTGCGCCATGCTGCGCCACGCTGCAGCCCCAGGCAGCGCAAGGCAGCCGGCTCCCATGCCAGCCGCCCCCCTCCTCATGGGATGCCCTGCTGACCTTTGCCTCTCCCCTGCGGCCCGTGCCTCTGGCTGCAGGTGGGTGTGGTGATCACCAGCGGCAACCTGCCCCAAGCCCTGGTTATCCCGCCCAACCGCACCGCCACGCTGCAGGTGCTGGCGGGCAGCTCCCGGCTGCTGCAGCCGCAGCCCTGGAGCGCCGAGCAGTGGCCCTGGGTCAGCGTGTTGGCACTGTGTGAGGCAAGGGCGGAGTGGTGCGGCTCCAGCTTGGAGTGGTGCCGCCGCCGCCGCTGCGGGCCCCCAACAAGCGGCCCCGCCCGCCGTCGCGCACGCCCAGCCCGCCGGTGTAGGCGCTGGTGCCGCGCCCGCCCCAACCCCCGGCGGCCCCGGCAGTTGGGTGAGCTGCTGCGGGCACGGCCGTGCAGCCCTGGCCTGCCTCAAAGGCTTGAAGCATGCTGGTGCAAAGGCCGGAGGCGGTTGTGCCGGGCTACTCCGCCAGCCTCTTGATGCAAGCGCTCCTCGCCACTGGCACAACGCTCCGTCCTTTACCCCCCCGCTGGCCGGCATGAGATGCAGGTGCTTCCCCAATGGGAAGGCCTGCTTTGCGGATGATGACTGCTGCAAAAGGCACCGCGCATGGGAAAGCGGTAAGACGCACACATGCAGGCCGGCCCCGGATGATGAGTGAGCAGCCAAACAGGACCCTGTCCCGCAACCCTGTCACGGAAACGTCGTCGACGGGTTGGTGTTGAACCAGCTCTGGTTTGCTCGACAGGGTTGCTGCCGGGGCACGCCGTGCCGACCTGGGGAAGCGCTCTTGCTCGCTAGCTGCCATGGAAGTGCAGACAAGGTGGCGGTCAGGCGTGCGCCTGTGGGTTGGCGCCGCTTCTGGTAGAGCTGGCATGCTGGATGAGCGGATCAGCGCCGGGTTCTTTCTTTTCTGCCATGGGCTCAGTTTCTTTCTGGTTTGCATGCTGAGCATACTGTGGCGTCGCTTAGACTTGACCAATTGCAAGTTTGCTGGGGTGTAGACATGACAATTGAGCTAATTGCAATGAAAGCGGACGGCGACGATAAACAATGAAATGGGCATAAATTCAACACATGCACTCGATGGTGACATTCGCGGTTTATATATGGACATGGGGTGTCGGGTGTTGGGGTAGGCAGGGCACACACACACACACACAGGCCTGCTCACGTGGGGCTGGCACGAATTGACATGAGACAAGCCGATTCGTGGGGAGAAGCAAGAGGCGCGCGCTGCTGCATGCACGGCGCAGCGCCCAGAACAGATGGGTCGCAATGGCGCAAGGACACAGGGCGGGGGCGGCAAGGGGTGGGGAGCAGAAGGTAAGGGCAGGGAGACGGTGGGGCACGGGTAGCTGGCTACTGCTCTAGACGGACAGGACAAGATACGGCTCTTCACTGGAAGGTGGAACGGTCTACTCTAAAAGGTACAGGCGGTGTGCACAGCGGCATACCGCGCTACGGCGTTCTCATGGCGAGCGGCGCCGGCGTGCTCTCGGCACGCGCCTCAGGCGTCTGCCTCGTCGAAGCTCAGAAAGATGCTGGCTGCTGACATGGGCTCCCGAGGGCCCTCGCTGCCGCGGCCCCGCCCCAGGGCGCCGGGCAGGAAGGGCGCCACATTGCTGGCCTCCACCTCTGCCGCCGCCGAGGCAGCCGCCCCGGAGCTCGAGGCGGCGGCCGCCGCGGCGCCGATGCCGCCGCCGGCGGCGCTGCCGGCGGCGCGGGCGCCGTCGAGGCCCGCCGCCACTGCCGCGGCGGCCGCCGCCGCCGCCTCCCTGGCCGCCCGCTTGCTGCTGCCCGACTGCTCCAGTATGTCGCTCAGCCCAAACTCCAGCTCGCGGCACATGTCGTCCAGCGGGAGAATGGAGAAGGGCTCCTCAATCGCCACTGCGCAGCAGCAGCAGGCGAGGCAGCGCGAGCGCAGGTTTGCATGCATCGGCGGGCGGGCCGGCGCGGCTCTGGCTCGAGCGCAGCGGGGAGGCAGGCTCCGGCTGGGCGCCAGGGCGGAGGACCGGGGCCCGCTCCGCATCGGCGCCGGGCCAGAACACCTCGAGCAAAAAACAGGCGGATAGGGACAGGACAGCTGGACAGGGGGGAAGGAAGGGCATGCCCCGCGCCGCCGCCCCGCTTGCTCGGCTCACCCCCAATCTCCTCAATGCCCAGCAGCAGGAAGGAGATATCACGGTGAGCGGGATGGTGCCAAAGCCGCACTGGGACCAGAGGCCCAGCGGCAGAGCGGAGAGCCAGATGACCATGAAGCGAGAGGAGTGGCTGCAGGCGGGGGGGGGGGGGGGCAGGGGGGGGGTTGCTGGCACATGCCCGGGTGCATGGGCGAGTAGGTGGGTGAGGCGGCGGAGGGGGATGCAGCGGGGTGGCTGTGCGCAGGGCGGGGCTGCGAGCGTGCGCATGAGCTGGAGCAGGGGCAGCCAGGCGGTGTGGCCCGGCAGGCGCGCCGGCAGGCAGGCACGCAGCCCACCTCCCTCCCACAGGCCCTGCCTGGCTCACCGGGTGTATGAGAGCGGGATGGGGGTGCGCAGGATGCGCTCGCAGCGCCCCGCGGCGTCCTGGAAGCAGCTCAGGTTCTCGTCCACCCTGCATGCGCGGCCAGGGGAGGGGAGCGGGCGCACGAGGCGGGCGTCGAGCTGTGCATGCAGGGCAGGCCGCCGCGCATGCGCGCACCCCTCCAGCCAAAAATCAGGTTGGGCAGCTGGCGAGGTACATGCTGAGCCAGGCTGGCAGGGGCAGCAGCACTAGTACCTCAACCCTAAAACAAGTTGGTAAAAAAGAAGGGAACCTGGTACCTTTGGTGCCCACCTGACTCGCTGCGCGTCGCGCAGCGGCGCCGCCTCTGCCAGCTCGCTGAGCACGGCCAGGGCAAAGGAGGGGCGGTGCTGGGCGCCCAGTAGCAGCGCCAGCTCCTGTCCCGTCAGCACCTCCCTCAGCTCAGCCTGCACATCCGAGTCCTCCGTCAGCTGGGCCTTGAGGGAGCGGGAGAAGGCGACCAGCCACCTGCGCAGGCAGCGGCAGCGAGAGGAGGGTCGGGAGGCGAGAGGGGAGGGTGGGCGGGGCAGATGGCCGTGGGCTGGGAGGCGGCCGGCGCGCAGCGCAGTGGGAGCAGGTGTGAGGCCAGCCAGCGCAGCCAGCCTGGCGCAGCCAGCCCAGCCGGGCGCAGGGAGGCAACGGGCTGCGTGGCGGGCGCGCCGGGCAGGCGGCGCGCGCACCTGCCGGCGGAGGCCGCAGACAGTGCCGCCTGGCGCGCGCCGCCGTGGCCCGCGCTGGAGTGGGAGGCGGCGGCCAGCAGCTGGCGAAGCGTGTCGCGGGCGCGCGTCTCGATGTCTCCCCACGCGCTCACAGCCTGCTGCCACCGGTCGTACGACGAGTTGGTCCTGCAGGCGGGCGGGGTGGGTGGGATGGATGGCAGCTCAGGCAGGCAGGCAGGCAAGGCAGGCGCGGCAGGTGGGATGGATGGCACCTCAGGCAGGCAGGCAGGCGAGACAGCGCAAGGGATGCGAGGGAGAGGAGCAGCCGAGGCGGGGCGAGGCGGTACGCATGCAGGGGACGGCTCATCCTGTGAGCGCGGCCCCCTCCCACGCGCATGCCGCTGCCAGCCCCGCCGCCCTGCCGCCGCCGCCGCCCTGCCGCACCTGAAGACGAGCAGCAGGCCTAGGGAGGAGGCTGTGATGTCAAAGGGCAGGGACGGCATGATGAAGGTGGGTAGGAAGCTGGGCAGCCACCCGTCCTGCAGGCGACAGTGTCGGGGCCGTGGCGCGGGGCGTTGGTCAGCCAGGGCCACACGAGCGCGGCTCCCTCCCCAGCCTGCAGCCTGCGAGATTAACCCAGCCCAGCCCTTGCAACGCAGCAGCACAGGGGCGGCGGCACGGGGGCGGCGCGAAGCGGGCGGCGCAGCGGCGGCGGCACCACGGCGCGGCGCGGCCACCTGCAGCGCCTGCTCATACACACAGACGATCGTGGCTGTGGCGCAGGAGGAGAGCAGCGGCTGGGCCAGGCCCCGCACAATGCGTGACTGGAAGATTCCCGACATGTGTCGTACCTGCATCCATGGCAGGGGGAATTGCACGGTACGGTACTTCTGTTAGGTGTGTGAGCCAGCAGAGGCAGGCAGGAGGAGGGGTGGGGCGTGTGGGAAGGTGCCAGCCGGGGCATGTGCTTGCCGCGCCAGGGCAGGCAGGGCGGGCCCGGCCGCTGGCGAGGCGGCACGCGCGCCGGGCGGGGGTGGGGTGGGCTCACGTAGCGGGAGGTGGAGCGATGGAAGGCCCAGCGCCGGAATGTGAAGGTGGAAAGCTCCCGCATGTGCCTGCGGCAGGCGGCAGGCAGCAGCTAGCCTTAGGCATGCACACGCGAGCGCAGCTCATGCAGCAGGCAGGTGGCTGGCGGGCTGCAGGCAGCTTGCAGGCAGCGGCGGCAGCCCGGGCCGCTCTTACCTCCGCCCCTGCTCCTTGTTTTCATCCACCTCCAGCACCCCGGTGGCATCCTCCAGGCTCCAGGTGTCCTCCTGCTGCGGGCGCGGGCGCGGTGGCGGCGGCTGCGGGCTGAGCGCCAGGGCATCTGCCAGGCGACCCGGCGGCGTGTAGTCGACGACGCCCGCGCGCGGCCGCGCCGCCGCCGCCGCCGCCGGCCGGCGCGCCGCCAGCTTGCTGCTGCCGCGCCTCAGCCGCTCCGAGCCAGCTGCCTGGGCCGCCCGCAGCGAGGAGGGCAGCAGCAGCGGGCTGCTTGTGATGGCCACATATGTTCCACACGGCATCGCGAGAGGGGGAGCCCCCGGGCGGGCGATTATGATGCAGGGCTCGTTTCAGACGTTTAGGGAGCGGGCCGGGGCTTTCGAGGGGAGGTGCGGGCGGCGGTGTGCCTCCTCACGATTGAGCGCTGCAGGCGACAGCCAGAATATGTAGTCTTACTTCTGTATCCAGAAATGGCGGTTGGTAACGCGGAAGTCGGACTCGGCATTTCGGCTCACAGTTGGCGGGACCTGCCGTGCGTTGAAGCATGCAGGCATGGACGCGGTTTCTGTTGCAAACTGTCGGCTTCTGGAAAGCCATGCAAGTAATCGCGTGTCTCGCTTGGATCGACGCTGCAAGGCGGCGCCCCGCGCCCAGCCATGCATGTCTGACCGCTTGGCCTTCAGTGCGCCGCCCTCCAGTGGGCAGGATAGTACCCGAGCGTCAGCAATACATTCACCTGCTGGATCAACAGTGGCATTGGGGATGCCGTGCCACCGTCCTGGGGGCAGAGGTGGATCGGCTGAAACAGCTTGTAACGGCAGCCAAGCCCTGAGAGCAGTGGCGTTGGCCGGCTGGCAGCGCCCCAGAGGCACCAACTTGCCATATCAATGAATGCCGAGGATGAATCTTCAAGCAATTTGGACGGCTCTCAACGAAGGTCGGCAGGGGTGTGTGGACGTCCGCCGTCACTGCACGCCGCACAGTTTGCTGCCCCGTGTGGCTGCAGCGCTCCGAGTGATGTGTGCTTCAGCTCTGCTTATCATCAAATCAGTAGAAATGCGCTCCACTGGTAGATGTTCTCCCGCCAGTGACCAAAATCGCAAGGACCCAGCTGGCAGGCGGTTCCCACCTTGGTGCGGCCCTCCTGCCATTCCGGAGCCTTTCCAACAATGCAGGATGACGGTAAAGATCGCATCAGTGCTGCCTTGCAGTCAAACGATGCCACCGTCTTCATAGCCAGCATCTCCTCGGCGCTGCGGGACAGCCGGGCGGCCTTCCCTCTGCTCAGGAGGCACCTGGGGTACCTGATGGTGCGTGTAGGCACGATCGCTCGCCTGGACGTGGAAGGAGGGGTGGCCGCCGCCGCTCCCGCCATGCTTCCCCGCTCCGCCGCCTCATGCTAGTCAACCCCTCTGCCGCAATGCTTGCAGGCCAGCACCAGTGCAGAAGACACCGGCCATTTCGTGCTGGCATGCATAGAGGCAAGCCTTCGGGTGCTGCGGCATTGCTGGGCTGGGCACCTGGCGCTTTGGCGCCGCGGGCCACTACGGTTTGGCAACACGTCGTTCCCTCTTCGGGCTGCCCCCCGGTGTGCAGGAGGGCCTGCGCGATACCGACGTCAGCCCCGCCATCTGCCACCTCATCCTTGACACAGTCAACGAGGTGGAGGGGTGGAGGCCCGCGGCGGCGCCGCCCGCCGTCGCCACCCCGGCCCCTGCCGCTCCCTCGCCCCTGCGCGCCCGCGCCGCCGCCGTGCTGCTGCGCTGCTGCGCCACGCAGCCGCGCCTGGCGGCCAAGCTGGCCGCCACCTTCGGCCTCACCGAGCGCGACCTGTCTGCCGCACAGCGGGCCCAAGCCTTGGATGCCATCTCCGCCCTACTGGACGCCGCCGCCACCTCGGCGAGCGGCGTGGCGCTGCTGCTGCATTTCCCAGGCCTGCGCCGCCACTTCCATATCGAGGCGGTTGTGGAGGACCTGGTGCTTTCCAGCCAGGACCAGGTGGCGCTGCGGCTGGCGCGCGAGCTGGGCAGCCGGGAGGTGCAGGTGGGTGCTGCGGCAGGGTGGGTGGTGGGTGCTCCCGTGTTTGTGTGTGTGTGTGTGTTTCACATGGTGGAGGCCTGCATGCTCGGCTGGCCAACAGGTTGGCAAGAAGGAGTGGCGGAACAGCCTCCTCCCGTGGAGCGACCTCCTGCCTGCTTGCACCCCGCATCCCGACAGCCGCTGCTGCCACCTTGTCCCCATGCCCGTCCGCCTGCCCGCCTGCCCGCCTGCCTGCCTGCCCGCAGATGTTGCTGGTGGACTGCTGCCTGCAGTACGGGCAGCTGCGTGTGGCCAACAGCGCGGTAAAGGACTTTGGGCTGCAGGTGCGGGCAGGCAGCTGCCTAAGCCGCTGCTGACACCAGAAAAAACTCCCAAACCTCCCCGAGCGCGGGCCTGCTCACCTGCCTGCCTGCAGCTCGAGTTCCCCAACGTGGAGCGCCTGCACAAGACCAAGCAGCTCGAGAAGATGGTCGGCAAGGGGCTGTGGGGGGTGAGCAGCCAGCACCATCAGCGGTGGTGCTGCACGCTCCGCCCCGCTGCAGTCAGCCCAGCTGCAGGAGGCGCCGTGGCGCAGGCTGCGGTGTCCTGGCGCGGCTGCTTGGCGTGCATGGCATCGGAAGCGGCGCATGAGCGTGCCCGAAGCGGGCACATGAGCCTGGCCGAAGCGGCTCATGCTGCGGTACATCCCGCTCCGCTACCTGCAGGTGGCCGCCACGTATGTGGGCGAGGATGACGAGCTGCAGCGCAGCCTGCTGACCAGCATGCTGGCAGCTGGGGAGCTGAGCCTGGCGCGGCAGCAGCAGCAGCTGTTTGGGCTGGAAGCGGAGTTTCAGATACACCCAGAGCGGCTGGCGGAGGAGCAGGCGGCGCGGCGGGAGCGGTACCTGCAGATGCCGCTGCCGCCCGGGGCGCTGCACTATGTGCAGTGCGCGGGCGGGCTGGCAGCCATGGCGCTCCGCCTGCAGGCGCTGCTGCGGCAGCCCACCAGGCACGGCGCGGCGCACAGCCCCGCCGACGCGACAGCAGATGCCGGCGTGGCAACGGCAGCACCGCAGCAGCAGCAGCAGGCGGACCAGCGGCAGGCGGCGGCACCAGGGGGCCGCCAGGACGGCGTCCCTGCTGCTGCTGCTGCAGCAGCAGCTTTCGCCGGCGCCCACGGCGATGAGGAGCTGCTGCCTGTGCTGGGCCTTGACCTGGAGTGGCAGCCAGACGGCGAGAACAGCTCCCCCCCAAGCCTCCTGCAGATCAGCACAGGTGCGGTATGATGGACAGCCCCGCCTCCTCCCCTGGCGTGTGAAGGTGGTTTGGCGCGGTCAAGCTGGTTTGGCAAGCTGGTTTGGCACCTTGCAGGCTGCGCCGGCTCTTTCCAGCTGGCGCCTGCCTCAGACTGTTGGTCCCCCCGTGCCAGCCAACCCTCTTGCAGACGCAGAGGTGTGGCTGGTCGACTTGCTGGCGCTGACGGGGCGGGAGGCTGGCGACGCGCTGGCTGCCGCCATCGTGCCCGTGCTGTCTTCAGACCGCGTGTACAAGCTGGGCTGCGGCATCGCCTCTGACTTCAGGAAGCTGGCGAGGCACCACCCGGCCGCCTTCAGCCTCGCCCGCGGCTGCCTGGACCTGTCAACCCTCTGGCGCTCCTGCCACATCGAGCAGAGTGGGTCCGGGGCTGGCCGGGTGCTGCCACGGGTGCTGCCGCGGCGCTGCCGCCCGCTGCCCAGCCAGGCTGCCCAGCCCATCCAGCTTCTGCCATGCAATTCCCCTCCAAACCGTTTACGGTGCCAGCCTTTGTATTGCTCTCGGTGGATGCCCCTCCCATGTGCTCGCTGCTGGCGCCTGCCCTCTCCCTCCCACCACCCACCTTCCCTCCAGCGGGCAAGCGCTCCACCGCGGGCTACAAGAAGCGGGTGGGGGAGGTGTCGCTGAGCGTGCTGGCGCAGTCGGTGAGCCTGTCAGCCCCCACCCCACACACACGCACACGCACACACCACCCTGTTTAGTTGTTGCGGCCACACCACTGCTGGCAGAACCTGCGCTGCGCTTCATTCCAGCGACACACGACGGCCCAACACGGAAGCACCGCGTTCCTGCTGCTTTGCTCCCCTTGCCTGGCTGTGTAATGCCTGGTCTGCCTGCCTGCCTGCCTGCCCTGCCCTACTGGCTGCAGGTGCTGGGCAAGCCGCTGGACAAGAGCCAGCAGGTGAGCGACTGGGGACGGCGCCCGCTCAGCTCCCAGCAGCTGGAGTATGCGGCACTGGATGCCCACGCCGCCGTGCTGATCTTCCGGGGCATGGGGCAGCTGCACCACCCGTACCGCACACGCCAGGGCCTGGCCCTCCACACCTTCTGCTACGACTCCCGCCACGGCGGTACCACCGGTACCGCCTTCGCCGGCGACGACAACGGCGGCCCCGGCAACGGCGGCCCCGGTGCCGGGGCCGGCGGCGGCGGCTGCCCAGGCGCGGGCCATGGGCGCAGCAGTAGCGGCGTCGGGCATGGCAGCGGCGCGGCGCCTGGCAGCTTGGGCGGGCAGCAGAGCGGCGGAGCAGGTGGTACTGCTGCTGCTGGCCGAGGCAGCACCGGCAGCAGCGCCTTTGCTGGCCCGACAGGCAGCAGGAACGGCGGCGGCGGCGGCGGCGGCAGACCTAGCCCCAGTGCGTGCAGCAGTCCCATGGGTGTTTTGCCGTGGCACCTGCTGGGCCCGGCAGCCTGCGGCGGCCGAGCAGCAGTGCGGCAGCCAATGCTGCGGCAGGTCTGGGTCGCGGCACGCTGCCTGCGCAGCCTGCGGCACCCCAGGAATTCAGCAGCGGGAGGTGCACCCGGGACCTGGCGGCTCGGTGTGCTGCGCAGGCTGCCGTGCCGCAGCGTCCAGATCCATGCCCGCCTGCTGTGCGCGACGATCTATCTTCTGTGAACTGCAATTGTACACCTGCACATCCTTTGGCACTGCATTTGTAATCTCTGGGCATTCGGGCGGCGGCAGCCGCGGCCAGCTAGCGGTCAGCTGTCGCCCCCCAGAGGCGGGCACGACATGCCTTTGGGCGGGTCGATCGGTGCTTGTTGCACTGCCACGCCACTGCTTCCCGCTACTGCACGCACTCATTCACAGGCCTTGCAGAAGCCGACTGTCCCGCCGCGTTTCGAGTCGGGCAGCACATCACCCCGGGCTGCCTGCGACCAATCGGCATGCACGCAGTGGCGGCAGCTGGCTTGCCAGCCGCACCAGGGCGCTGCGCGGCGGCGGCAGCTCCCCCGCTGCCGTGGCGGCCTCGCCGCTTGTCGGCGGTTCGAGTCGGCCGTGCCTGCCCAGCCCCAACCCGCCAGCAGCGACCCCGGGTCTTCGCGTCCGCTGCCTCAGACAGCGCGCAGGAGCGGGGGAAGGAGCTCAATGCCAGCAACGGCAGCGGCAGCGGCGACGATGCTCGCAGCAGCGGGGACGAGCTCGCCGCCGCCAGGCGCAAGGCGCGGCTGGCCCAGGAATCCATCGACGAAGACGCGGCAGAAGGGGTGTACGATGCGGTGGGTGGGTGGTGGGTGGGTCCCCACGGCTGCCTGCCTCCACGGGAACTTTCCAACCCAGCCTGCCTTGCCTGCCTCCACCCTGCACCTGCCTGTGGCCTCCGCACCTGGGCTGGCACGCCGGTCCTCCACCCCACCCATGCGGACACGTGCCTCTGCCCCCTGCAGAGCACCAGCTGCGACTCACAGGAGCTGCTGCTGGATAGGGACCCTTACAAGGAGGAGTCGCGCAGGTGGGCTGGGCTGGCATGCTGGCAAGCCTGCTGGCCACAGGGCCAGCCCAACAACTGTGGTTGAAGCTGGCTGGCTGACCTTTGCCTTGCCCCGCGGCTGGTCCCTTGTTCGCTCCGTGGCGGACAGCCTGTGGCTCTGCTTGATGCACCACACTTGCAGCTGTTCCCATCCCTTTCCGCTTCCCTGCTTGCACGCAGGTACTTTCGGACGGTGTTTGACTTTGACCGCTGGGCGGCGCACCGCAGCACGCGGCGCTACCTGCGCCACCTGCTGGGCATCCACAGGGTGCGCGCCGCTGCCGCTGCCTGCTGATCACAACACATCGCTGCCTGTCTGCTGATGCACATGCACGCACCTGCCTGTCCGCTGCTACTGCTGCCAAAGTTGTGGACAGCCTCTCCATCTGGTAGGGGCAAGGCCACAGCCGACGCCCCTTGTGCGTGCATGACCATCCTCTCACGCCCCGCCCACCATCTCCCCCCACTCCCTTCAGAGCCGCATGGTGCGTGGCCTGGCTGCGCCTCTGCTCTACATGGCAGCCCTCACCTCCTCGGTGGCCCTCTACCACACGCTGGCGGAGGTGTGCTGGCTGCCTGCCTGGCAGTCCCCTGCCTGCCTGCCCGCTTGCCTGCCGTTTCACGTGTACCTGGGCATGGGAAGCTGAGCAGGCGCCGCAGCGGGCCGCGCGGTCCCACCTCGCCCTTTCCTCCCAGTCCTGCCACCGATACCCTGAGCTGCTTTGCTCCCTGCCGCATGGCTCCCTGCCGCATGGCGTTGCATGCCTGCAGGCGGGCATGGTGCCGGAGGTGGCGTATGCGTTTCAGATACGAGCCAACGAGCCCTTCACCCTCTCCTCCTTCGCCCTCTCCCTCCTCCTGGTCTTCAGGTGGGGCCCCTGCCTCGGTGGCTGCCGCCCGCTGCGCCCACCACCTCCTAGCTGCTGCCTCCCTCCTCCGGCACACGCCCACACGCTTGACCGTCAGCGCACCTCGGCTGCGCTAAACTGGCTGGCTCGCCACACTGGACGCCCCCCTTGGCTGGCGCAGGACAAACGCCAGCTATTCTCGCTGGCTGGATGCCCGCAAGGCGTGGGGCCAGGTCGTCAACCGCTCCCGAGACCTGGTCCGGTGGGTGTGGCCTGCGCTTCCGCACGCAGCCAGACCCCTGGGCCCGCCCCTCCCACAGGCAGCATCGTGTTCGGCCCGCTCAGCCGCCCCCTGCATTGCATCAGGAGGTGCTATGCGTGATAAAACAACAGCGCCACCATGGCACATTGTCCTGTGTCTGGCTGCAGGCAGGGCATCACGTACATCCCTCGTGACCAGCCGCTGCTG